TTTAAACACATCTGTAAAACTGAGGCAGGCAAGATGTCTACAGATTTTACCAATCAGGAGAAAACATGCCATATTTCAACTGATATCCATGGAAGTCCATAATGTGTTGAGCATTAATTAACCAGGTATTTTGCATTAGTTAATATTTTAAAGACAAGATTGGTCTTTATTTTTCTCTCAACCTGGAAAGAAAGTGTGCATTTGTATTGGGGCAAAATAGTACCTTTTTCTCTTTTTCTGGTCTTGTAATGTACCTTCTGGCACATCTATTACTGCAGTCGAATTCTTCATAAATGAATATCATGCAATTCAACTTCTACTGAAAGCTATCCTATTGAATCGTAACAATCCTGTGACATGAAAGAAGGTACACCTCACTCATAACTTCAGTAGAATTTAAGTACATGTACTTAAAATCACAGCTACTTCCCTCTTACCTGATAATATCTTTCTAGCATTAAGTGGTTATTAGATAAAATAATCATAGTCCAGAGCTCAGAACTCTTCCAGCAAGTAGCCTAACCATGAGTCTTGCACTCCGGCCCTAAAATTGAAGCCTTTTTTCAGGCTGTGGTCACTTAATCAGTAGACTGAACAGCAATGTCATCTAGATAGTCTTTCAGCAGCAGGGACAGTTGCAAGATGGTTGTACACACAAACCCCTTGATAGAAAATTGTACCTGTATAAAGGTATAAACACCAGTAGAGCATTATAACAAACACTATCACCATTCCTAGTTTAGAAGAAAGGTGTCTGCTTTCAGAAGGGATCTTCATGCTGTCAGTCCCAAGTAAACATGTCCTTTTAGCAATGAGAGAGGTACCTAAGCCCACAAGAGGAATAGTTATAGCATCTTCTTGTCTTCTGTGCTGAGTCTTCAGGCTTTCTTGTAGATTACCTGGCTGCTCAGAGCGTGCAAGTGGATGTTTGTGTTGTCTCTTGTATTTTTTCGTCTTAACACCACTCTGTAACAAGATATCTAACTATACAGCATATGTAGCAAAAAAGAGCCAAAATATGAGGTTTTGAAGACTTCTGTCAGCCTGAAACTATTTTCATGAACTGAAGAAGTCTTAAGGATACTGAACACACGCTTTTCACATCCTGAAATGATTTCTCTGTGTGTGCATAGGGTGGAGGTGGAATAAGGTCTATTTATACTAATCACGGAAGACTGATCAGCTTTTAAGAGCACCCAGCTATCCCTCCAAAGCACTATATCATTCTTATTTTCATAGCATTTGATTCCCCACAGAAGGCATACTGTGCATTATACTTTTTCATTCTCACTTTATCTCTTTCTCCTTCAATAACAAATTATGTTTTGAGGGAAAGGATGATCCTGTAGTAAAGATGCTATCTTAAAACTCAGATATGTAGGTTTGTTTCCAGAAGACATTTGATTCATCATCTGTGAATTGAGGATAATGTTGCTTTTTCTACTTTCTAAGAACCTTGTGAAAATGAGTCCACTGTGGATAGAAAGGTATTCAGATATTATGAGGATGAATGTTGTGGAAGGAATTAAATGTTCTCTGTTCTAAAACAATCGAATGAATGCCAAGCAGTGGCAGTGTGAAATGAGTGAAATTAAGCTCTAGCTCAAAACAGGTGTTTTTCATTCCCACAGTTCATTGAATCTGACTCTGATTTTGATGTCAGATAATACACTGTCATTCGTTTAGCTGAACCGAATCAAATCATTATTACGAAGTGCTAAGTGATCTGCACAGTCACATTTTCTAATGTTATTTGGCACACATAAAATAAAAATAGTAATAAAAATTACTTATAAAAATAACTTCCAGTACAGAAAGGATACTAATCACATCAGTTACCAAAAAGCAGCAGGAGCACATGAAATGGTTGACATGGCTTTCCGGATCCTACTAATCTCTTTTCTTCTAAAGGTATTCAGATGATACTTAAACCTTTTGCTGAAAGCTTCCATTACTTTTTAATGGATGTTACCCTTTAAACAAATTGTTTTAAATCCCCTTGCTTGAGAAAGACTTCAAATCAAATTATATATTCAATGCTGCTTTTTTGAGCTATGTCCCACTTTCTGTTCTTGAAGATGAGGAAATGTTTTTAATCTTTTGTAAAATGCGCAGCTGACTGATCTAATTTCGTGGTCGTTTCATACCACGGGGTTCTATTTGTTGCTATTTAATGAGTTTATTCTGCATGCACGTTCATTTGTACATTACATGAACAAATGGATGTAAAGTAAATGATTAGTTTTTACCAACCTCAGAATGTCAGTAAGGCTGTCTGTATTAGAATTACATTATCAACTTTTAAAAAGCATGCTATTAGGACTTTTTGGAGGACAGTACTTTCATAGGGAACTGCTATTCAGTCAACCACCCACCCCCAGCTCGAAATGCAAACATGGAAAGCCAATCTGGAGAAAAGCATAGTTCTTTGCTATTTTTGCATGTTTTAATTTAGGCCATAATCCAAAAAATATTGAAGTCAATCTAGAAGCTGCTTTGGCTCCACTGGGCTTTTTGAGCAAGCTTCAAGTGTGTAGAGAAGGAGTCATTCTATTTCAACTGGAAACTGAAATCATATCATTGAACTGAAATTGAAGAAGAGGCTTCAGTAGGCTCTACAAAGATTTTATACCAAGTTTTGGAAGTGATTACATATACCCACACTTTTCAGAGGGATTTACTGTGAATACTCCTGAGAGCTTATACTAATTCAGTTATTAAATCATGACTTCCTACTTACAGGAGTAGCTGAGATGCTGCATCAGTGGTAGCACGTTCTCACAGCAAATGGAGGCACAGACACACATCAGTGGAGACAAGCTGCTGAGGAGCAGGGAACGTTGCTTCCACGAGAAGCTGCCCCCACCTGACTGTGGTGTGCTGGGGCTGGCCGGCGGTGCGGCACGGCACTGCGCACCCTCACTCCCCTCATGGGAGAATTTCATACTTGTACTCCATTGCATGATATCGATATGCCCAAAAGAATCTGAGCAAAAACTCAGCTCCAAGTTCCCAACTATCAATTCTGTGATTTACTCAAGGAAGAAACCTCCTTAACTGGGAGAAGGAAAGAGGGTAGCAACCATCCTCCTGTATATCTCTGTAACAACTGACAGGTAGTCCCAAATTCACTCCTTGACAACTTCCACATGCACAGAGGCATAACATAGGCTTGACATTCTTCCTTTTTTTTTCTTTTTTTCTTTTATTGTTGGAAGAGGTGTGTATCAGAATTTACCTAAAGGATTTTCAGCAGCTCCAAGCAAGAGCATTGGTGTCCTTCCCTTTAACTTGTTCTGACATTGTAACAAATTGACACTCCATCAGTTTGCAAATGATCTGGTTTTCTTTTTCAGAATCTAACAGTTTCATTACGTGGGAATCATTGTTTCCCAGCCAAATACATAAATGATGACAAGACAACTTGCAACATACAATAATGAAACATGCTAGTTCTTTTTGCCATATTTTGACGTGAATTTGAGAGTTTGTTTACTTCAAAAATCAAAGCAAAATTTTAGGAGTATGAAGAAGAGAGAAAAATGGGTACAAATGTAATACAGCAAGCCCTAAGAAAATGTTAACTAAAATTCATAAAAATTATGTGGTGTTTTATGCCTCTACTGTAAAGTCTGTGCAATTGTGTTATTCAAGGCAGTTGGGATATATCAACTAGTTGTATATCGTTAATTTGTGGATTTCTCCTCAGGCATTTCATATCCTCTCAGTTTTTACCATCTGCCAATGAATTATAGCTAGAGATTGGCTGGCAAATCCAAGCACTGTATCTTTTCTATATGTTCCTCTCAAGCCTTCAACGCTATGAACTTGTGTGGTGGATAACATCTGTTTGCCTGGGCTGTTTAAGTTTATCACTTTCCCTTAAAAATGCGGAGGCCAGCTGGAGAGGCTGGAGGCAAAGGAAGGTCACTGCTTTTCTGAGGGACCCCCCTGAGCCTGCTTTTTGTGGGAGGCTGGAGAGATGCAGGCTGCTGGCACCACAAGTGGCCAGAGGAGCTAGGTTCCCTGGGCTCAGATGGGGTCCCTAGTCCTCACATGGCAACAGCCTCAAGGAATTTCTGCAAGCAAAATTTACTGTATTGTTCTCCAGGATTTCATCTTGACATAAACACTTGTCCAAGGAAAAATCTTTAGCGTACAAAATATCTACTCAGGTATCTGTCTGTCTATCAATGCATGTAGAAGTAAATATACACTGGCATTAATAACACTGTAGGGGTTACATTTTTTAATTTTTTTTTTAATTAGAAATATTACAAATCTACACGGTAGAGATGACTGCATAATTAGAATATCAGTTTGGAATAACAACGATTTAATTCGAGTTGCAGCTTAATCATGTGTAATGGTCGAGGAGCTCTAGATACCAAAAATGTGTATTTTCATTCCAGGCCCAACAGAACACTGGATTCTGCATCTTTTGATTTTGGTTACTGATCAGGAAGTGGCCATGATTTCAGCTCTTGCATCTGAATTTTCACCTCCCTTAAAAATTTTGGGGATGTCTGAATGCACCATGCTCTATTCCTTATTTCCTTCCCCCTGCACTTACTACTAAGCTATTAATAATAGTTCATCCATGCTTGGTATGCATTTTTAATTTGAATAGCACATGTTAAAACGCATTCAGACATGAGTGATTTGGATGTTACTGACATAATTACTGGCTTCTATTAGATAAGCAGTGTATTATTTTAAGAAACATAACCATCTATGCTCATAACGGACTTTCTTTGGGATGTACAATACACAGTTAATAATTTTGAATGCAAATATGTTCTCAAGGCAGGTACATGAAGATATGCCTGGCTGGAGAGTCTTAGGATGTTGAAACAAGGAAAATTAAAAATTAAGGCAAATTCCATTGACAGAGAAAGACAAGTAATGCCTTTTAACTTCTGACTTTTAGCTTCATTCATTTAATCAGTTTCCTTTTAAATTACTTTGAGAGGAAAGCGCTCTTTTCCACTTTTGCTGGCATGGAGGTAAGAAGGCGGTTGCTGTGGATGAACCTGGATGTGATGCATCTCTCCTGCATGGAGCGTCTCTCTGCTGGGTTCCACCCAGCCCAGCAGGGAGGCGGGGAGCGAGTTATGCTGGCGGCTCACCCTGCTGCTACTCACCCACGGCCTGCCCCACTGGATCCACCTGCTTCCATAGCTCTGCTGCCTGCTGTTTGATCACTCCCTTTCATCACAAAATTCTCTTTATTCCAGCTATATTAGTAGTATGGGAGTTTGATTAAGTCTTTTTAGACTTACTTGCCTTTATAGAGTCAGACTTTCAGCTATGTTAACTCAGGACATTTAATGTAGTATAGGCTTTGGCCAAACATCTGTATTCATAAAAAGGATTTTGAAGAAATGGCTTATCCATCCACTCAGGTTGAGGGCAACGTCATGTCACATACATATTCCTGAGACTGAAAACCTCCTATGTTACAGACAGGGCCTATCAGCACTGTAATCACCTTGCTTGGGTAAAAAGAGTGAGTCAGAAAACATTGAGAGTGGTAGAAACAACCAGTGAAAATCGTTTTCTTTAAAGGGGGGTGTATATGGACTAAAGCTAGTCTAGGGTATCAGAACTATTGCTGTCAAGCAGGAAATGGCACTACTATCACTAAATTGAAAGGTCAGCTCTGTTGGAAGTGCCAATTACTAGTAATGTATGAGGTGGGTTTCTCAGTCTAATTGGGAAATATTGTTAAAAGATAGTAGAAATCATGTGAGTGAGTTGTGAACTTTGTGTTCATCTAGGCGAATTACTGGGGTGGATTCCTAAGGCAGATGGGGAAAATGCTTCTAAAAAGTGTGATATATGTCTTTTGGGCGTCAGAGGCTTGTTAACGGCCTCCTGCCTTTGTCCTGAGTTTATTGTACCAATATAAAGTTTAAAACTGCTGATGAAGGAATTCCTACAAACTTTAGGAAATAATCTTCGCACAATGCTTTGCCACACCATGGGCTTCCACAGGTGCCTACTATATTTCAACCTATAATTTTCACATGTGTAAATGGAGAGCAAAGAGAAAGTGCTATTAGTGGCTCTACTTGGAAGAGATTGCAGTTCATCCACCACGGACTCTTTACACCGATAATAAATAATATATCATACATGCTCACAGCGAGTATTAGATTGCCTAGAGCAGCAGCCTCTAGTTTTTGTCTGCCTCTTGGCCTGTAGATCTGTAAGGTATTAAGGGCGATTTTTCTGTCCTTGCTTTTTTTAACCTTGGTAAATTCCTCTGGCCACAAGGATTGTCAGAGAATTAAAAAATCAACAGCTCAAGAGATACTTTTTGCCAATAAACTACTACATGTGGACTAACAGCCCAGGATACAGCACAATTATCTTTCTGTGATAGTGTTACATGAACAAACTCAGTTTGGTCATACTGTTTTGTGGTATTTCTCCAATACAAAGGCCTTCTCCTTATCTACACCTGTCATCATTGTGCACCACTCTGAAAACTTTCCATTCAGCTCACGACACAAAGATAGCATGGCCTGTGAACTCCTGATGGTGTTTTAAGCTCACTTTAGTTCCTGCAGAAGAGAAAGAGACTGTGCCCAAGGTCTGACTGCCTTTGCTCATCACTCTTGCCTCCTGCACTCATAGAGGCTCCTTGATGAACCCTGTGCAGCTGAGGACACGAGGTGCCCAGATAACAAAAAGGACAAAGCATATTTCTCATAATCAGAATTTGAAGGCACAGTTTGATCTAGTACTTCTTACTTTTTTGGCTGTAAATCTTATTAGTCTTGTTGTAAAATTGTCCCAATCACTTTCTTGTTTTGTCTCTTTTCACAGAGCGATGAGGTTTTAACAGTCATCAAGGCAAAAGCACAGTGGCCTGCCTGGCAACCTCTAAATGTGTAAGTAAGGAGTAGCATGTCTCAATAGCCTTGTGTGGAGTGTTGGCTCATGGACCACTCTAAACTCATTGTCTCATATAATCGTTCACTCTTGTAAAGAAATAATCTAAAAATATTTTGATAGATGGGGTTTTCATCTTTTTGTTTATTTGTTTGTTTGTTTTTTCCAACAACTGCTTCTCTTTCTTTCCTCTTTAGCATCTCTTCATTTTTTTACATGCTTTGGTTCACTAACTGTTACAACAGAAGGATTATTCCGTGGAGTTTGTGCCTTCATTGAACAATGTTTTATTCAGTGCTTGCTCAAATACATTGTGTATATATATAGTATTTTTTAGCATCTTGTGTCACACACTGTGACAACGCACTGTGTTCAATACAGCAAATCCATCCATCAACAAAAAACTCTTAAAGGACCAATTCTTTAAAATGCTTATCTGAAACACTCTATGATAGCATCATGATCCTGACGGTAGTATAACTATGGTTGTTTTACCAAGTGAGACTGCAAGCTAGCTTCCCAGGATCCTAACTCTGAGCAATCTGGCAGTCAGCAGAAAAGAGGACAAAACTCTTCTTTCAGGATACTCTTGAATTTACTGGTTGCCTTTTGAGGGGGGTGGTTCCTGCATAACTTATCTGTGCTTGACCCAAAGTGCATACTGATTATCCAAGCCCAAATGAATGAGACTTACAAAAAGTGACTAAAGATGAGAACCCAGTATAAGGGGTCACCCCATCAGCTGAGAGTCAAATTAAGTCCTTGGAGAAGGAGGACAATTAGTCTACTGCCAGACTGTAGGGACCAGGTAGTCCTGTTTCCTCCGTAAAAAGTATGAGGGAAGCAGTTAGTGGAACACTGTCTGGTTTTGTCATCTGTATTTCAGAAAGTATGTGAAAATTTGGAGGTTAGTCAGAAAAAAAACTGCAAAAGAGTTCAGTTTTCAGAAAACATCCCCTACTGTAAGAGGCTTAGAAACTCTTAAGCAGTTTAGGACTTAAGCTATTCAGTTTATCCCCTCCTCCTCTAAAAGAAAAAAAAGGTTAGGAGGTGAGCACGGCTGAAATAGTGAAAAGATTTCTGATAGCTGATCCCTCTTTAATCTAGAAAAAAAAAAACGACTGTGAAATCCCTCGTAGCATGGAAGCTAAGGAAATGCGTGACAAGGAAATTCTCACTAAAGGTATGGGAAAAGGCTTTAACAGTGTGACTAGCCTTCAGAGCAGCTTACCTGAACATGAGATGGATTTTTCTGTCACTTGAATATATTTTAACCCTGAGATGGATTTGTAGGGTGTACACAGGAATTGTAGGTTAGGCTTTTTTTTGGCTGGTGTTATGCGAGTGGTCACTCAAGGTGACAGTAATGGCATTCTTTATTTATGGTCTTATTCCCCTGAAATTTTCAGTATTTGGATTTGGTAGTGTTTGCCATGGAGTAGCTGTCAATAGCATTTTTTTTCCTTGCTGCCTTCTTTCTATTCACTCCCAATTAATACTTTAAAATGGAAACTTCCGTCCACTTCTCTGTTCTACTACAGTGAGGTCTCTGACTGAATATATTACATAACAAAAATCAAAGCTGAATAAAGTATGTTACCCCTGGTCATAATAGCTAGTTTAATACAGCACTGAGAAACTTCACAAAAAAAGTTGAGAGTGAACAACTCCAAACACTTTCTAGGCATATTCTTTCTCAGGCATGCCTGCAAATGCTTTTGCAACATCCTCCAGATGTTCTACCAGTCAATTCATACCTTTTCTATATGGTAATTCTCACCTTACAGTAACAACAAAAGGAATAAATCTTGGTATTTGTGCTGTCAAATGCTGTGCAAGGGTTCCCCTAATAAATATTCCTTCACTTTACAGGTAGTGTTACATTTTTGGCTTACAATTTAGATGAGATTTGTGCAAGTATTGGATAATGACTCCTCAGGATAAACATTCGATCTATTATTATGCATAACACCGCCATCTTACTAATCAAGAATTGACTAAAAGTCATGAACAACCTTCTTTTGCATAATCATTAGATATCTATCTAATGTATAATATGGTGTGACAGTGGTGCCAAAGTGGCGTTACAATGTGTCATGATAAGCACAGCCTAAAAACCTTCCTGAATGTGTTTTACAACAATTATAAAATGCATAATACTAGTGAGCCAATTTACAGAGGCCTAAATTCAGCCTGCGCACACTTCAAAGTTTACCTCCTGATTCCATAGAGTGATTTTTATTGCTAACCCTATCCAAGTTACAGTACCAAGTTAGTTATGGTGATTGCACTTAAAATCAGAGGGAGGAGGGGAACAATTACCTCCAAAATATGTGAGAGGGCTGTAAGAGTGTTAATCTCTTTGCATACCCTTGTGGAGAATCCAGGATGAGGCACCGTAGACACGGGGCTGCCATGCCAGTGAATGCGGTATCTGAGAGCAGCAACCCACGGCTCATGGGGCTGGAGTGCAGGGACACTCACATAGGTGGTGGCGGATGCTGTCATGGAGGGGAGACTTACAGGCTCAGTAAGTGCTCGTTGCAGGCACCAGCTCAGACCCATTCCTTTTAGGGGAAACCCGAGAGAAAAGAAACCAGGTGGGAGCACGCACCGAGGCTCAGCACAGCCCTGGGCACCAGCCCCACTGCCCACTCAGGGTAAGCACCAGCCGGGACGGGCGCTGTGCCTGCCCCTGGGGCTGCCGAGTCCTCTCCTATCTTTCCAAAACAGTGAGGGAGGCTGCAGCATCTCCTCTCCTTGCAGAGGCTGTAGCAAGGCAAGCTGCTAATTCTTGCCCGTGTCTTGAGAAGTTGATGAGCCCTTGCGTTTCCACACTGGTCACCTATAATAACGTGTGAGAGGATGGTCTTGGCCAGGCGTCTGTCACGGATTCATCATGGAGTTAAATGGCTTTTCTTCTACTCTGTCAATGCCAGTTAATGAGGCTGTGACTCCTGAGGCCAGTCGTACCACATTAAGTAATGTTTCAAGTTCTGTATAGACTGAGGCCACGAAATGCGTAAGTCCGTGTCTAAATCTGACAGTGATGCTGAAAGCCCTTGGTTCACAACACCAGAGATAAGAAGGGAGATATAATTGGGGACTTTTCTTTTGCTTAGGGAGAAGAAAATGGAGACTTCTCAGTGCAGATCCAGTGGGCAGAAAGTGCCTCCCCAGGGAGAGTTCTTTGGCTTCAGACATCAGTTCAGATACGTGAAATTACAGTAGAGGCTCAGACAAGTTTCCAGCCCTAAGCAGGGAAGGATACAATGACACTAAGTAATTTTCTGAAATGCTTTCTGATAATTACAGTTGAAGCTAATACACTTTAACATATTGTCATCTCCCAGTACAATCTAATGCTGTGGAAACTATAACCTGCCATACTTCACTGTTTGTTTTTTATCACTCCTCTCCTTAGTTCCTATATGTGCCTGCTCTTTGTCACTGTTTTTATTTTTATTTTTTTTAATTTCTATCACTCATCTTTGTTATCCTCCATTCAGTTTCTTATCCAGGGCACTAGCATGCCAAAGAACCTCTCCTGAGTTGTTGTATGCACAGTTAGTTTTGGGTGATCTTTGTGAACTACTTTTACGGTTGCCCAACCAAGAGAACAATACTGGTAGCATGAGGAGGAGTGCCTGAGAAGGAGTGCCAGACCAAGTTATAAAACATTTTGCTGTTCTTAGGTTTGTATTACCACATTGTATGTCTGAAATTCTAAGTTTAAAGTACTCACAGGGAATGCATTCTTCCTTGAGTGTAATGATATCAGTATATAGCACACTGTCAAATGAAAGTAGTTTTTCTTATCTTGCTTGTATAAACAAGCGCACAGCTCATTGTTCCCTTCCTCTCAGCTGTGTTTCAGGCAGAATCAAATTTTAATTTCATACTCAGCTGCAAATCATTGACCTTTGGCAGTATAGAGCATAAAATATAGCAAATACAGATACTACAACTGGTATCCAAATCTACATATCTGGCACCTTTAAAATAATCTAGCAATGACAGAAGAATTTGGAGATAAAGAAGGCAAGACTTTTAGAGACAGTGTGCACCAAATTCCACAGGAGCTAATACCTTTCAAAATCTTGCCTTGAATTCCCTTCCCCCAAATATATGCTTTTTTTTTTCCTGTGTTCATTATGCCTTTATTTCAAATCCAGACACCTCTATTGTTATACTCCCCCTTTTCATTCAATAAGCACTTTTATCTAAATAAGAGCTTCCCAGGATAATCCACTGGAAGAAAATAAGCACAAATCCTGATCAGTTAGTCCCACTCTATAATGTGAGTTACAGAGCCAGTTACAAGAAGAAAGATGGGACCCTTTTGGGAGGTGTGGGGGACAGTCAGTTGTCAGGCGCAGAAGCAGCTGTCAATTCCACATCTTGGCATGAGCTGGATTGTCTTTAACGTGGTGGTCAGGGCACGTGCTGTTTTTACAGCTGCCTGTTTGTTCACGGTCACTATGTCTTCTGGGATTCCGCACCATCAGGGAAAGGCATTGTCATACTTATATCAGCATGTTTGTCGTGATGGTTAGGGAGTAGGAGAAAGCAAATTCTTCAGGTGGATCTCTGATTTTCCAAAATGGCAAGACTCCAAGCCAAGATATCACATCAGAACAAGTAATATAATTTCACCATATAGTTCTCAGATCTCTGAAAAAAAAGAGTGGAATCGAAAATGGATAGTTGGACAGGACTTACACATTAATAGACATCTCTCTGGGCAGTTTCTGACATTTCAAAAATCATGTCCAGTATAAGTATATGGCTTTTTCTTAATACAGGCAAAGGAAGAAGTAGTTGAATGGTAATTCTTGTGTCTAATCACTTATTTGTAGTTCATGTAAACCAGGAAAGCATTCAGCCCTATGCAACATTGTGGAATATGGACTTCCATGTACATGTAGCCTAACACAGATCAGACACAGGATGGAAATTATTCTCCAGTATGTCATGTATTCCATTATTAAACACTTAG